TTAAAATGGAGGTTGTGATTTTTGACTCACTAACTAACCTTATTTAACTGTAATGGAATGTTTCAGTCTCAGATTCAGTTTACTGTGGTTCTGAAAATAATTTAAAAGCTTTGTTCCACAAGCGAAGCGATAAAATAGTTGTAGTCATACTTGGTATTGGCTTCTAAAGTATTTTATAATACCTGACTGGTTGCTTTGTGTTTCAATGCACAATTTGGTGCTCTTTTGTGAGAATACTTGAACTAAGAACTTATGGCACACTGGATTTAAATTGGAAGTGCTTGAGTGAAGCGCAATTTAAAAGGTGTCTCAATTACTGCTTTATTTCAGGGTTGTATGCCTTGTTCTTTTATTAGTTAAATGCTGATTCATTTACTTGGGCTCAACTCGGGGAGCATTAATATCCCTTTTTTATTATTTAATCAGTTGATAAGTGGACCTTATTTTTGTTTTAATAATATTAGAAATAAAACCAAGACACCAAGCATATAAAAGAAAGATGGTGACCCTAATTCCCTATGCAAATAGGTAATTATCCGTTCACTATGAAATCTCGTGTAATGCGTGAAAAGTGTTGACTGAATGTCTATTGCAAAAATCAAATGATTTGATTTTCAATTTGAATTTCATTGTTTTATACATGTAGTTCAATGTCAAAATGCCAATCTTTCAAATGGAAATATGACATTGAGATACCCTTACTTCAACAAAAATAACTATCATCAAATGTGTATATTAAGTACAGTGAAAAAAAAACTTTCACATTTGTCAAATGCCACGCTATGTTTTGATGCCACCATGACGCTATATGACATTTGTTTGTCTTGTTTTTACAATCAAGTTCACAAATAAAGCAGGATCGCGCAGTGAATGGTTTATTAAACTTGATGGCAGAAATTGGTCTGTATACTCAGCGAAATCGTTCTTTTTGATAATCAGAATGTATGAAGTAATGTATTTTTCTATCGTATACAAACCTGACTAATTATAGAAAGTTAGTTTACTAGTTAGACAAGATTTAAGCAAAATTTTTGTCTAAAAGAACAAACTGATGACTACAAAATTACTGTCAATTCGTAGGTTTATTCAGATTGAAGTGTTTAATCCAAACTGTTATAGACTGTAAATGCCTTTTCAGACACTGCTGTACTACGAAGTAATTTATATTTCTCATTTACACACTGGTGCAATCCCGGGGATTGCAGAGCTGCAGTTTAATTTAATGTAATGGTCATACAATGTATGTCATACAAACTGTATGATATTTACATTTATTTTAAAAATTGTTGAAAAAAATTCTTTTACCCGAAATGATTACTCACTATATTACATGATACAATGTAACTTCCATTATTTCCAGGTGATAATTCACTCACTAAGAATATGCTACGACAGTTTGTTGACATAGTCTGGATTGGGTTGCCATGTTTATGACCTGCAGTGACCTTTCTGCAATCTCATATTCTGACTGCTTTGTTGTGCAGTTGCTGAATGTTCATATGATATTGAACTTGTTACCGTATTCTGAAAATTCATCACTCCTTGTCTGTTTGAATTTTTCACCTGTCTAGTCTAATTTTGACTGTTTTTAAGGAGGTTTAGACCAAATTAAAGATTACATGCCATTTTCTGTCAATTTTCTTCATTCAGTTTATGTTATTAGGATATAGAAAATATAAAATTGGGGTCATCAACGTATTTTTCAAAAACGAGTTTGCATTGGTTTTTATAGTAAGCTTTTTACTTGGAATATGTTATTGGTGTAAAATGCAAGTACAAATAAAAGAAATTGTGTGGTTCCAATTACATGTACCCCTTAGTACTTCAAAAAACAGACATGTTCTAAATGTAAGGTTGGTTCAATTTGTTTTCCATCATAAGACACCAACTTCCTGATTTAAAAGATGCTATGTTTAACGATGTTTACAGTAATATTCTGCATTGGAAAATTCCCCATACAACAACAACATTTGACTGTACCCTAAATCTGGGGGGGGGGGGGGGGAAATATAAACTAAGCTGAGAAAAAAAAAAGTGCAGAGTTTTTGTATCATTGCTCTTCCCTCACAGACTGTCTGATAGTCAGAGCCTAACTCACAAATATATTTCCAAGTCGTTTTTCGGTGCTACGACAAACGTAATATATTCAGTTCATACAAGCAACCATTCCACATTCATATCATGTTTAATCCTCATAGTATAATAACTGGTAAACATTGGAATAACGTGTCTGGAGGATTTAATGTATTAACTGATCGATTTCCCTCTGACAGGAATAGTATAATATTACTCATGTCTTCGACTTGTATGTTGCTAAGCAACAACACAGTATATAATGTCCATGTAAGTGCATTGGTCGGTTTAAGTGAAGCGTTGTTTATAACAATGTATATTTTTATGAGCATTCAGTGTCGTGAGGGTGTTAATCGTTGTCCAGAACACATTCGAATTTTGTGTTATCGATGTATTTACACGCGTTGTACTCGTCACTCGAGACCTAAATAAAATATGACGTGCATCGATGGCTACCGCTTTTTAACTGTCTGTTTTCCAGGAAACTATAAACATTAATGCTCATTTAAATATAACCTTACTATAATAGCAAAGTGGAAACTGCAGTGGTGGCTGTGATGCTTCTTGCTTGATGTGGGTCCCATGTAACAAACACAATGCATGTAAAATTCATTGTTTGTTTGTTTACACAATATTCAAATATGCTATGTGAAATGACACCGCTATTAATCGAAAGCTTGTTGCTAAGTTACACGTATATCGATAATCAATATAAAGCACTGTCATACTGTTATGTTATGTTGAAGTAATTGCTAAATGGAGTTACCATGGTAATGCTAATTAACTTGTGTGATGTATATTAAAAGGTGATTGTTTTCCCATTTCAAATTCATTAAAAAAATATTGAACTTTATGTTGTTCATGTAATATGATGAGTGGACCGCACCTACTGTACATGAACATGTAAGATTCAAAATTGTAATTGTCTCACTCGGATGGTGGATTGTTACATCGATACTTGCGGTTTATTATGGCTACCACTCCTTTCCCTTCTGCCCCGTGGTGGTATAGCAATTGAAATAGTTGAACAGGATGTATTATTTTGAGAACTTCCTATACGTATTGCACGTGTATGTGTGCGCAGGGAATGGTTGGTAAGAGTCGATCATTCACACCCGATTATAAAACAACGGTGTTGCTCACTGGTGTTGTAATTAAATATATGTGTATGTGTTCCTGTTAAAAAAAAACTTATTAGCAACTCTGTCGAAGTAGATCGTGAGCTAGTTCTGATCGGTGGGTGATATTTGTTATCAGACATTCGTGTGCTGTTTGGCACACAATCATGTAAATAATGCACAGTGTGACGGCCTATAAAAGCTGCTAGAATTGTTTTGTACTGATTGAAATCATGGAAAAAACTATTTGACTCAGGCATCTCGGCAATGATCATTGTGAATTTCAAGCCTTGCTTTTGAACGTGTGTGTTGTAACTATGGCTACGACTTATTTGAAGCCGATAGTAATTAGTAATTTCTCAAACTATTGAGACTACCTGTGATTTCGAGCAAATACAAAATGTACAGTAATCATCATTTGAAAAGGTGTACAGAAATATAAATTAAAACATCAGGAACGACGTATTGCTTAATGCTATATTAGCGTACGTTACCGGTACTTACTATAGTATGAGGTTATCACCTGATATCCCTTGATATCAGCTGGGTGACCTTATCATGGCTCGTATTATCCATGAAGTGGGTAATTCAGTCTATGACACTAAACATAAACCCCCACCCCCCCAAGTTCTACAAACAAGTGATTTCAAGTGATAACCTTTTTATTTATCACATGACCAACTTTGAGTGCCAAAAAGTCAGAAAAACTAATTTTATGGAACTGCGCTTACGAATCGTATGCTAATTTATGCATTGATGTGTAATCACATCTGTGGACGCATATTTGTAGTTATTAATGATAGGCAGAATTATTAACCTTGTATCTTTTCAAAATAAACTTTTAGTCAAGATTATTGCAAGTTTCACTATATCATTTTGGTAATTGTTGTTATCCAGTCTGAAATTCCTGTGTGGTGATACTACTGTGCGATTTTTTTTTTCGAACACACATAAAATACAATCGCCCATTACAAACATCGAAATGACCTTATTGGCCTTTCCCAGTAAATGTCACAACTTTATAATAATAGGGGCCTGTGTTCTCTGGAGTAAATGTTTCACTATTGAAACAACAGCAAAATTGGAAAACGATTATTATGTTTACTAACTGTGCATTTGCAAGTTTATGAAGGAACGTAAATCCCGGTTCAGCATGGTACCACACGCTGTTCGAGTGATTATGTTCATGAATTTGTTTGAGCTTACTTAGAAGTATCTGCACGATTTACTTCAATGTCCAACATTGAACGATGATTGACATTTCAATTGGGTCTAATAAAATATCTCCAATAAAATACTCTGACATAACTGACTTTACAAACTGCACAGAATTTCACAGAATGAAAGTAACAGCGTCAGTTCATACATGTACATAATAATAAAGTTGTTTTACTTTATAAACTCATTTAGTTAGAAAACAAAATCTGGATTTTACATTCGATTTCTACTAATAATTTGAGATTATGTTGCGGAAATTGTGATGTTTGCTTTGGGAATCATTAAATTCTAAATTGATTCATATTTTTCATGGGAAGAATTGTTTAACATATTTCTAGACTTACAATCATTTAGAATGAGACTGAACAATGTATTTAAACAGATGATAGTGGATTACTTGAACTAGAAATCGCTTTTAAATTAGTTTGTAGGTTCATATTTTCATGTAATTTTATACCCAAATAGTCACCCTCATAAGCTGGTTTTAATCTCTACACATAGATTGCACCATCTGGCACTCAATATTCAATTTACTTGTTGAGTGTATATTAATTTAAAAAAATAACACTTATTTTTCTATTTTTCTTGTAGCTTTGTGATCTCCATGTTTATGTAATTCCGAGTGAATCATGGAATGAGAAATTCCATAGTGCCTACAATGAAGTCATTAATGAATCAATATCAGCCGGGTTTGTCCGGTAAGTATAACAGCCATCATCATTCCCTTCCACACTCATTTTTCTGTTTTTGTTTTTTTTCAAAAGATTTAAGAATAGCATTTTTTTTTTTTTTGGTAAAAAATCCATATAGTCCCTTGTATCTTCTCATTTGTTATTATTTCAGTCCTTACATTTGACTGATAACAAATGTATCTCATAGAGGTGGTTTCCATGGCAATGGTGATATCACATACAGCGCGTACCAAGAGATTAAGTGATTGATAATATAGACAGGTTTGTTTTTAAAACGAGAATATTGAGATGTGGTTACTATGGTAACTATTCAGTTGCTAGGAAGATACCATTAATGTTGTTTACATGGCGCTAAAGAGGGTCTTGATTAAACTTGATCAATCTATCTTGTTTCAAATTTGATGACTTTGTTGTTGTTGCTAAGAAAACATGCTGCATGCATTTTGTTAATCAGTACATTTTCGATAATCTTGTTGTTATTTACATAGTTTCTAATTGTCTACATGTGTTGAAATTGTTAAAAGATATAATATATGAATTTTATTTGTTGAACGTTAAGTTCAGTAAAATGGTTGAACACATGATAGAGAGAGAGAGTCAGAATGTCTTTACCAGATTTTTTTAGTAAAACAAATGTATTATACAGTATATGTATAACATCATGAGCCATCTGTAAACAAAATGGTGCTTGTTGATTGGCTGAGAGGGCATCACATGATTACATGTACAAGAACTGACCAGTTATCAGATGATGAGGGCAGTAAATAGACACCAGAATGTACATAATCACTGATAATTGTTATGACAATTTAATTCCTTTTCTGTAAAAAATTATGACTGCAATATTTTCCATATGGATTTAATACCAGTGTCAATTTTGTTGATATTTAGTGAAATTTAAATTTATAAATCTGTCGTTTTGATATATAATCTACTAGAATCTGTGGCTATATACATGTGGTTAAACTTTTATTTGCATGCAGTAGACAATTTCTAATCAGTTTCATTGGAGAGAATCCAAATTCTCACTAATTTATTTGCAGGAATGATAACAAGTCTAGCCAAACTGTGGGACAGTGTCAGTTTCTCGTTCTAGTCTTGTACATTCATAGGCTGGGTACTTTTCTGTTATATGGTACAATTTGTATCTGTATTTAAATAGAAATGCTATGTTTATTGAAATAAGAGACTACGTAGTGTGCTCCTCGGTCAGATAACTCCAATCTTAAGGCATCGATAAGATATTGTCAAATTGACTGGTAGTTGTTATCCTAACAAAGTTCAGTGACTTGATAATCATTTATTGACTCTGGCAGGCTAATAAAATTGATAGTTAACAGTTATGGGAAGAATAGTAGATATTTTGTTTTTTTTTGAAGGGATGACTCAGTGAAAATACCTTTATTTTACATTCAACTCATCGAGAATCAGTGAAAAATAAACTCCATACTAAACACCTAAAAGGTTATATCAGGGAAAAAAATTCCATGTATTTTCAAGTGTCTTTGCTAAAATAGAGTATTTTACAGTATGGTCAGATATGAGGTTGACTTGTTCGGCCAATGATCATGTTTAAAATCTTATCCCTCAGATTTCCATAGATACTTTATTTTGTGTATGTTTCAACTATTAAACAATGAACTTTGCAGTCCTGCTTATTATAGAAAAATTTAGTTTTTCTACCTCTTACTTACAATGTACGGTAGCTATATCAGGGATATCACTAAATGGTTCATATACATACTCTATTGTTAAACACATCGACCTAAGTTTCTTTCCATGAAGATAAAAACATGTATAGTGCATGTTATTCATAGAGCTGTCCTGCCAAGTTTTTGAATCATAGTCAATCACCTGTCACGTAGTTATTGTTTGTACCACTTTGTTTGTTTGACGTATGATCTAAAGCTAATGGTCATTTGGAAACCCCAGCAGTTATACATTCCAATGTCAGTGTTAATGCACTATGTATTATTCCCTGGCTTTCTTTGGGAAAAATTGATCGCACAAAGCTTTTTGGGTATTTCTGTCACCAACATATGCGATGTACTTCTGTGGAATTTTAGTCTAGAATCAGGCAGCGGTATTTCTCTTTCCGTCGTCGAGATTTACATCTCATTACAATCATGACAAAATGCAATACATCTAAATAAGACAAGAGAAATGCAGAATATTACTGTACAACCTGTTCCGTTGATAATTTTCTGCAGGCTTCGATGTCTAACTCCAAAGGTGTGCCTTCCTTTAATACTCTATCTCCTATCTTCCTCATAATTCAGCAGTTCCATTAATACATCCTTCTCATAATTTAATTCATCTCTGTATAATTCTCTATGTACCATCTTATTCTGTCCTCCTTTTTTTTTCTGACTTCTCCCAAATTTTGTACCTGTTGGGGCATTTCTTTGACGTGTCTAGTTGCAAATTCTAAACCTCAGTTCTACTTGTGTAAGGAGTAATAATACATATGATATAAAGAGAAAAGCAGCTCGGATCTATCATTCAGGTACCATGCTAGAAAATAATATTTTAGTAGCAGATATTTTTTTTTATACAGGCTAGTATATGAAAGGTAGAAGTGTGATTTGTCGGTTAGATTTATTTTGCGTTCATGAACTTGGATTACAAATTTTTCCTGTTGTTTCTTTTTTTACAGAGTTGTTCCAGATCTCACGATTTATGCACTTCGTGATGAAATAGAGGAGCAACTTGGCGCTGATGAAGGCGTACCAAAGGAATATGTATTCCTTAAAAGTGTTGGAAGATGTCTAACACAGGTAAGTGTACAGATACAACTGGCTGTCAGTATCATTAGACCAATGACTGGCATTCTAACATTATCACTGTCAGCAACTCCAAAAAAACTGTATCAGATTGTATGTGAATTTAGCAATGTGATTCCATGCATTGTATGACACTCATGAATACAAAACCCGCTGGCGCATATCTCGCCATATTGACCTTCACGGGGCCACGGTATAACAGTTTATTGACTGCGAGCACTCGGCTACTTCATCTGATCTAGAGTTAAATGTTGAAATTAAAAGTTACTTCTTCGGTTCAAAGAAGATATATCATCAGTATACTTATCATGCTTGGGTGATCTCATTGTCATTATCTTCTGTCCGAAACACACCATTTTTTGATTAGATTGCTTATAGACAGGTGGATAGACGAAATCAAGTACTGTCTCTAGAGATTCATCCAAGCTTGAATTCAGTCTCTTTAATAGCACTGAACTGGAAAATATTTGTTTTCCCCCCACAGCTGAGGTGTAAGGATGATTCATTTGTTAACTGAATTTTGAAGGTGCCCCTCCCCTTTTTCCTGATCACTTTAAATAGTTGGTGTATTGTCTGTGATTTGAGACTTATCGTTGCGTTAACAGGTGTTCTCAATTGTACCAAGGCCGCAATTGGTTTTATAATGTTTACCAAGTAGCCTAGTTTAGTTTCATATGGGCAAGTCATCTTTCAAAATATCCTTTGATCTTATTGTCGCTCCTATTACTAGATTTCACACTCGAATCTGGATGCCATCGCTCAGACGAATAGTTTCAGTTTGCACAGTTTGCACAATTCATATTATACTCGTACAATGTGCAGTCGAGTGTGTTGCTGTTCTGCCATGAATCATAGTATTATATGATTTACATTTTTTTTTTACAGTTTCATTCAGAATGTCTTTTTTTGGGGGGGGTACATAATTATGCGTCTTGACTTTTTACACCAAATTTGCAATTTCAATAACTGTACTCAATAAAATAAAATGCTTCAAGATATTTTTAAAAGTCGTACTTTTACAACGGTCACGGGTAAACATGCACTTTAAAACTATTTGCAGTTACTTGTTACAATGTTTACCCATGGTGACGGCAGTTAAGTTTAAATACACATAGCTATCTCTGCGATGTGTTGCTATGATGCCAACTGCTTAGCAACAACTTGCATATGTATCCTATGATGTCATAGCTGGCACGATCCAAAACGGTGGATCTTTGCAGTGGCAGTCAACCTGTTACAATTACTTGCATTTCAGTGGGCAATTACATCAGTATTGAAAGTTAATTGATTTTATATTCTCGAAGGCTTATTATAGTGTCTTTTGCTGTTTCATTATGGCCAAAATCTTCCTACAAAAACAAGTAGGGAAGACAGGCAGGCAGGCTATTTAATTTAAAAAAACTAAATCACTTCATGACTCTGAAATGTTATACATCTTGGTTTTAGGAACCCTAAAAAAGTTGTACATTCTGGTATTTCAATTGTATCTGACTACACTGCGCTCAAAAAAAAGGGTCTTTTCAGCTCCATGTGTTATCAAGGGAGCGCCCTCAATTAAAATTATTCGTAAAATCCCGTCCCACATACAGTACCATGTGTAAAAATCTGGGGGGGGGGGGTCAATATTGTTCTTATTGAATGTTTATTGTTATCTTGTAAAGTATGAGAAATTTTCGATCAAAAATGGATAAGGTTTGTAGAAAATTTAGCATGTCTAAAATGTGGAGTACATTTGTTTGTACATGTCTAAAATTACAGGTAAGACAGGTGTCTGGCTAAATGCGTGTTATGAACACTGGCTCACAGATGCATTTCATATTTGCCCCAAAACAAACAAAAAGCACATGAGACAGAGCAATGACTATAATATCTGGAAATGTTGCATGGCATAATATATTTTTAAAAAAAAATATTTTTTTTTCTTCAAAATATGGCACTGTAAGGCTAACAGTTTTGATCAAAACACTCAATTCTAAAGTGGCTATTATACACAGTCTTAAATTATTAAAGTTAGTGCACTTAATTCTCTTTTCCTGTCTAAAATGTTTTTCCCTTGAACTCCGGCCTTGAACCTTAAAGCAAAATAGGTGCATCTACCCCAACAATAGCTCACCCTGAAAATATAAACCAGGCTTTCTCAGCTAAAAAGAAATAGTTATAAAGTATACAGTAAATCTGTAAACTTAACTACTCTAATCTTACCTCTTTGTCTTTTTTTAAATGCCAATGTCAACTTTATGTCACAAAATAAATTAATCATAATTTTTTCTATATTTTTTTTCAAAACAAAAAAATTTTTCGTCTGGAAAAATGATTGCATTCAAGAGTGACAGTCTCTTGGACTTATCATGTTCGATGCGGGTCCCACGCAACATAATTAAATACAGTATTTAATATAGATTTGCACTGCAAGACAACCACTAACTTTTAAATCAAGTAACTTTACAAACCAAAACCAATGATGTTCTCTTTGAAAAGGTTTGACTACTTTGTATGCATGTATCCTAATTTCATTGTTAATCATAAAAACATTCTTCGTTACACACAATCCTTTAATTTTCTATTACAAGCAAACACTACTACCGAGGTATTCAACTATTAAAGTATCTTAGTATTTATAATAGGTTACTCAATAAAATCTAAAGCAAATTAATTCCCAGTCTACCTAATCTCGGTTTTTAGTAACCGTGACCTAATGATGTTTATCTGTTTGCTTCAACAAAATGACTTCTTTGATTCAATTTCAGCTGTACCGAAAAAAATAATTCATCGCTCTAGAATATGTAATTTTGTTCAATTATTCCATTGATTGTAGTACTGTAAAGGGGGTAATTATTCACTGGGTTTTAATTTAGTTAATTTCGCTGACTGGAAAAATGCGCTTAATTAAAATCCAGTGAATATGTAAAATTTAGCATAGAACACATTATCTAAATGACGAAACCGTGAATTTAAAACCCACTGAATATGCCTGAAATGGTAAATCAGTGAAATTTAAACCCAGTGATAATTAGTCATTTTACAGTAGTATATTTCTCGGGAGCAATGTTGCCTTACTTGCATTCAAAAGTAGTATTGATTCAAAGCTGTCCCTTTAAAATGCACCTTAGTACCCATAATTCATTGCAACTTCCTTTTTGCAAAACAGTGGAATCTGTGACTCTGAAAACATCTCAACTCCATCCAGGTACACAGATTTTACCAAGCATTACTTCACGATAGATGCATGTAGTTTGAATAAAAATGACTTGTTTGATTTTAACTGATAATGCGTTATTTCAAGAAAACAATCACCTGCAAGTGAACATGACATATGGACATGACAGCAAACAATCTATTCAAGAAGACAAAGTAGTTATAACTTTAGGTACGTGTGTCAGTGCTGGCTTAATAATCGTGTGTTTGCGCCACTTCACATCAAAAATACATGGATACATAAGACAGAAATTCCAGTGTAGCCGCCATGTAACTAACAACGGTGGATTGCAACGACCCCCGTAACTGTTCCTTTATTTGTCTAACCCGACAATAACCGCAACAATTGGCTGAACTTTGTGAAATAAAGAAGTGTAATACCTTCCTGCCTAAAACACTCGATAGTCGTCTGGTTTAAAAAAGAACTGCATTGTTCTTTCTTCCCACTTAATCCATTGTAATCTGAACCGAATTAGTTTTTCAGTGACATCACAAGTTTTTATGAGCTTTTAAAAAACTCCTTCAAGTCTTAATAATTTTTTCTAGACAACAGTCACTGTTACTATGCAATGTGAAAGTTTTTTTTTTTCTATTCTTCTTGCAATACTGTATGTGTGTATTATTGATTAAAGCCATGCGAGCCTGGAAGCCCATTCTAGACTCCGAGAATTACCGTTACCCCCAGGTTTAATACTTACAAAGAAATCTGCTTGGTTTCATACCATACATTGTATATAATTTCGACCATGTTCAGTACATTCTAAATACTTCTCAATATGATTTTCCTATTTTGTCCTGCCCAAATGTTGCATATTTTTGTGTATTTTTCGAGAATTTCTTCGTTAAACATTAATAAATGTTATTTTATATTGCCTACACTTCACAATCAGAATTCAAAAAATAAAATATGGTGACAAAAGTAGATATTGGTGCTCAAAGTTTTAACTACTGAATATTATATATTTATATTTGGTGTAGCCGACATGTTGAAGAAAAATGTATTCCCACGCTTTTCCAATTTTCAAGTCGAGAGTTATTTAGTGGACAGCTTCTCATTGGCTATTCTACCATGACAACTAACCATTTGAGCCAATCCGAAGGCAGCTGGTGTATTGATGTGGATGGTGGCGTAATTTTCTCACAATCAACCAATTTACTATCAAATTATTGTTTATTTCGCTCAGTTCTCTTAGCTCATGGTAACCAAATAAACAAATTATATTACATTAAATCCTTTAAATACCATTTTATATAAAGTTGGGATACAGAGAATTGTGTTGCTTTCACCTTGACTCAAAGTCGTTTACTTTACAACCATTTGCTGGGTTGGTGGGACCATTTTACACAAGATTTTTTTTGTGAGGGTTTATATGCCTAACATGGAGGTGTATAATATTGAGTTGATAGCCACATACCACCGAGCCACTGACTGGTTGCCGGTCACTATGCCCTCGTTTTGTCAATACGAGAATGTCATTGTCCACTCTGAATCTGTAAAGGGTAAACATCGCTTGTTCTTATTTGGCTGATTCCGTATGACATCATAAAAGGTAATCATACACTTGTCTCTAAATAATAACCTATTGTTCTTGTTTCTTTGTTCATTTACGATTGTGTTTTCCTGTCTTATCCCACCCAAATACTACATGTATGCACATTTTAAATACATAGCCAGCGTAACCTCTAGCATTTGCCTCTCAAAGAAACGCAGCGCATTTACCATAGCAGTGTCTCGTAAACAGTTGCTGCATTTTACTCTCCTCACCCAGCTCGTATTGCAAAGTGTCGTAAATAGACGAACATGACCAATAATTAAATAATTAAGAAAAGAAAAGATTCTCTTTTGTCGTGACAGGTGATAACTAGGAGTACCTAGATGTATGAGCTATTAAGTTTAAAAGGTAACACTAAAGTTGCTATGACCCTCTATGTATATTACAATGGAGAGGAAATCTTGTACATTGACCCCTCATAGCCGACTCATGTCAGATATCTGCCCTTATCTTCCGACCTTTCAAAACAATAGACCATTCATTATACTGAGGAAATAAAATACTGTGGAATACTTTATTTTGTATGGAATATATTTTCACTGTTTTTTGATGAGTTTAATGTGAAATATAGGAAAAAAAGTATATTCGCTGGATTTATCATCCCTTCTGCGAAAATAGCGAAAATTAATTCCAAGGGAAAATAAAGTATTCTACAGTATATAAATTATTAACTCACTGTTTTGTCAAAGGTAAAACTGTAGTATATATATGACTACACGTTATGTACAAAATTTATTGTGATGCAATATTTTAAATTATTCACACGTTTATCAATCAATTTTTTTCTTTATTTTTTCAGTTAAAACCAAGACAAGAAATTGATTTGAAAGTGAAGAGTTTTTTACCTCCATTGGTAGGTATCTGTACCCTAGTATTACAAAACATGTATTGATGCACTCTTAATATTCAACATTGTCATGTGACCACAATGCTCATCTTGCTGGTCATGTGACCTAGAAAATTAAATGTTAAGATCACATGACCAATAAAACATTATGGTCATGGATCTCATAATGCACAAATCAAATTGTAACTTTTTTTTTCCTATTTTATATTTTTTCAGGCGTATCTTCCAGAAATATTCTTACTTCCAGGTCAGAGAGCACACGTTCCATTAGCTTTACCATCCACTGAAAATTACAAAGCACAGCGGCACAGACAGAGTAGGGGAGGTAGGATCTCCAAAAATGGGTCTACACAAACAGGCTCTTTTGACAATAGACTTATGAATAGCCATATAGGTATGTGCAATTGGTGATGTGTGAACTGACGTGTCTATACTGCCGACTTGAATCACTGCTCAGGGTTTGTTACATACATGGTTGGGGGTGATTGTACCTATATATGTTAGTACCCATGTGTTTTATGTAAATTAAAAAAAAAGGATAAACGTGTCTGCCTGTCACCTTTGTTTTGTTTCTTACAAAACTGTCTCTTTTTCAAACCATTGACCCTTTTCTTGAAAACTGTTTAAAATATTGTGCATGCGATTGATGTTGGTCATGGTGCGTCAGTGATTTTTATTATTCAAAAAATAGTATGTTTTGATCACCAGTGTCTCTGATGGTGGAATTCATTTACATTAGCTATTCAAGAAGACCTTGAAAAGGCATCTAAAATGCATGAATGGCATCTATGACCCTCACCAAATGCGCACATCACAAACTGTTCTGTCTCCTTCCCCACCAACCTACCGTTCTCTCTTTGTTTTTGTTTTCCCCAGCCAGGTGTTTTCAAAACTTGAGCAGTGATTTCTGGTCGGTTGCATGTTTATAAATAGCAACTCATGTCATACGCGCAGTGCATGCGTCACCGTCACATCCTAACATGCATGGTTTAAGTGATAGTCGTGCTAACATTTGTTTCAATCTAGCATGTAGTTCTCTCTCTCCCTCCTTCCCCCCTCCCTCCCATCATAGTCTATAACTAGCCACCCAAGTCTTCGTGCCCATTCTTAGCATGGCGTACCCACAGCTACAGGCAGCGTTTAACTCTCTTGAACTCAATATGCAGTCGCAGAAACCTATCTTATCAAAATAGGGTGCACATGAGAGGCACGCGCCCAACAGAGCACATTCCAAGAGTGCGCTTGTAACACCAACCATACAAAAAAAAAACTGTTTTAGTGCGGAGTATACTTTTAAGGTTTTCGATGCACCCGAGTCAAAATGTGGCAGGTGCTTTTGAGGTACATTTGAGGTGTGCTTGGAATGCATTTGAGGCAAGTTTGCAATGCATTTAAGGTTATTTGAAATGCATTTGGAGTGTATTTGGAGTGAGTTTGAGGCATGTTTTAGGTGGATTTTTTGAGGTGTGTTTGGGCTGCACCTTTGGTGTGTTTTTTTTTGGGTGTCTTTTAGACTTGATTCTTTCAGGAAAACCCGAACCCAGAAGAGAAGCAACCCAAGAACCTTAAACTTGGCTGAAAAACTGATTGATTGACCATTGACTACTAGGCATTTAGTTCATCCATTCATAAGACCACTGTTTTGAGTATCTGTGCTATATGCGTCAATAGTTTCCTTCTAAAATAGTGTGACAAAATCACTTCAGAGTACCAGTTTACTAGAAACAAGCAATGAATCCCATCAGAAACACTAAAATTAGTTGAATATTCTGTAGTGTGTGGTGCAACAATGCGGAATTCTAAATAAGAAAACAATAGAATGACTGTTTTCATAATAAGCTATAAAACACAAAGGCCATCTTCTGAACATTCATCCGTCAGGTTATAGGTTTTCTAATTTATATTTTCATTTTAAAAAAAAGTTTATTTGTATTTGTGCAACTTTGCTACCGGGGTGTATGATACATTTTTTGTTTTGTTTTTTTGGGGGAAAGATTGATATAATTTAAAATTAAGCAAATGTTTGGCTAAAATACAAATATGCAAATAAATTTGATACTATCTGTTTGAAGCTTGTGAAAATACATTGGTGACCGTACAGACAAGCTCTGGTATGTCTGAATTGTTAAAATATTTAAAAAAAAATGCTAAGTATAATCTAGGTGCATTTCGGATGAGTCTGTTTCAGTGAAGTGTAAATCGGGTGCATTTTGGGTGTATTGTCAAATTCGTCAGTAGAGTTAAGATGCATTCAAAACATTAAGTTCTATTTGGGTTCCGGGTCACTTGAAAAGTACCTCAACTGAACTTTAAAAAATGGTCTCTTAACGCTCACATAAGATGCTTGTTTTGTGGAAGTGTGTGTATATACAGTGCATCTTGGGTGTTCTGAAAAGGAAAAGGTGCATTTTGGATGTTTTTTTGGTGACCCTATTAAGCTTTTATTTTGGTAAAAAATTGTCATGAACTGCAGTTTTGTATTATTTGTCTTGTAATGGAAATTATGGAAATTCTGTATACAATACACCTGTGCTTGTATGGACGTGTTGAAAGTGCGCCCTCAATGGACAAAATATGGAATTACTTCGTTTATGTTGCTGCGATTGCTAAGAATGGGCATTTGACTGAAAAAAAGGCCATAATTAGATGTGGGTATAGTTTTAATGATAACATACTAATTACATGAGCATTTCCATTGCATGCCATCCACCATATTATAAAAATAAGTAATTAAAATTTAATTTAATTTAATTTAATTTAATTTAATTTAATTTAATTTAATTTAATTTAATTTAATTTAATTTAATTTAATTTAATTTAATTTAATTTTAAGTTTTAATTGTTATTGTTGATAATTTAGATCAGAAAAGCAGCCATGATGTTAGTACAGCTGAAAGTAGTAGGCAGGTCATAGGTACAGATGTAAGAACTGAAAGGAAGCAAGATAAGCACAAGTCTAAGATAGGACAAGATAGACTAACATCAAATAGATTATCAAAAATTCCGAAGTTAAAACCTGTTGTAGTGAGCAATAGTCGTGAGGGCAAGACAAAAACTAATAGTTTGAAAACCAGTAATTTACCCGCAGACGAGAAAAAAGCTTGTAAGAATGGATTGAAATCTTTGAAAAAAAAGATTGTAAAGAAAAAGTCACAGGACAGTTCGGCTAATGACGCAGGTAGCCTACATGATGCCAAGGTTCAAAATAATAGTAATGCAAAAGCTGTGAATAGTAGTTCTTTTACTAAAATTTCAGCTCTGACAGGAGGGTATAATTCCAGCTCTGTTGCTGGTGGAAATGTACCTTGGAAGCTTACAAGCAAATCCAGCTATATTATGGAAAGTTTGCCTCACATCCAGGGCCGGAGTAGTATCTCAATTGGAGGGAATAACAATGTTTCTAGCACTGATTTCAATAAAAGGAAAGTAGAGAAAAGCAGAAATGGACATGCTTTAAATGATGAAGAACATGATTTGAATAAAACGAAAGTAGAGAAAAGCAGAAATGGACATGCTTTAAATGATGAAGAACATGATTTGAATAAAACGAAAGTAGAGAAAAGCAGAAATGGACATGCTTTAAATGATGAAGAACATGATTTGAATAAAACGAAAGTAGAGAAACGCAGAAATGGACATGCTTTAAATGATGAAGAACATGAGGAGTCTAAAACACCTAAGTTGAAGCATTTTGTCAAACGAAGAAAAGCACATGGTTCAGTTATATGGGGCCGGATGAACAATGCCTACAGGCAGCGGCTTTTACTTATTCAACAGAAACGAGAAGAAGGACAATCTAAAGGACAAACTAAAGGAAAATCTAAAGGACAATCTAAAGGACAATCTAAACTCAATGCTGACATTAAAACTGCCATTAAGCAACAGCCGGTTTTAAAAGAACGCATCATTAACAAAAATGGGGCCCAAAACAATGAAGCTGAAACGTCCAAGAATGTTGAGAACAGTGGTTCCAAAAATACTCCAGATGAGAAAAATAACAAAACTGTGATAGGAAGAAGTCCTGAAGAAAAAGGAAATCCTAATATCTTAAAGAAGAGGACATTGAAACAGTTTGTTCTGAAAAAGAAACCAGACATTAAACCAATGTGGCAAAATAACACCACAAAAGCTATCCAGAAAAGCCAATCACAGAGCAAAGGTGATAAATCTAAAAGAATAAATAGCGCCAGAAAACCTAGACTCAAATCAATCAATAAAATTGGCAAAATTCAGAAGCCGTTGGGCAGTGTCGCAAACTGCAAACCGCTCGTGAAAGTGGTGAGAATAGATTCAACTTTAAATCAAGAGCATGAAGTCTCTAGGCATAGTTTCCATGACAACAAACTAAGCAGCAGCAATATCCGACAGCTGTTAGAAATGGAAAGGAAAGTTGTGAACAGAACTAACTCTACAAGTTTATTGAAACGGCAACATGATTTTAGTGCTATGCAGACAAAACAAATAAACAGTGCTGGAAACAGAAAAGAAATTAGACAGGGTGGTAGTAACCCTGGTAATGACCTTTGGTCAATAGACAGTGAAATAGACACACAAGATATTGATTCAGATAATGGAAACAGTTTTGAGCAGGATATAGAAATTAGTCAGAAGCTAGGAAGTCATCCACAAATGGAAATCAACGATGAAAATGACATAATTGTTTCAAATCAGGTGTTGATAAACGAAAAGTTGAGCAATTTGTCAACGATTGTTGAGCCTTACAGCGGAGAAATCAGACAACAGCATAGCTTTGGTAAACATGGAGATTATACAAGTCAGGTTCTTAGTGATCAAAACTTAGCAGTTAGGCAGGAGAAGAACACCAATATAGTCAGGGCTGCAGGTAGGTGGCCATTTGCATTGTTTGGACTGATTCTTTGTTTCATGCATGTCGTTCGATGTTTTGCTCGCTATTACAGGTGATGTTGACAGTTATTCAAATCTTGGTGGACACGACTCCACGCCTGACCCCTTTTCAATTGAACGTTACCCCACAAAGTCAGTTCATCCCGAGGAGGGTGACCATCGTCATGGATATCTCCCGCCCCTCAGTGCAACCCCACCTCAAACTCCCGATGTTGTCTCAGGTGATTCCCCACAGCAGAGAAGGACCAAAGTGCCGCTCAAGGACATACCGAGTCAGAACCGCTCTGGGAGATCTGACACGTATACAAACAACACAAATGAAGATTCTGGTATTGCTGACGATGTGGAAGAAGAACTGGAAAGGTAAAAATAAATATTCTTGCATATTAATTCCTTTGACAGTGACAGTGACATTGACATCAATGTCTTTGTTAATAGACCATTTCTAGCTTTGTTAGATTTAGTTTTGTCCTTTTTATTGAAATCTGAATCTACTATAATATGCATATTTTTTGTGTGACACATTTTTTT